CAAAATATCGCGAAACTTACCGGTCCTGCGGCGAGTTCCACTCCTCAGAGAAACACGGATTCTTCACCAGCGAGACGCCTGTTCGAATGGAGTAAATTGGAATAATGGCTCTTGAAAAATTGTACTACGATCCCGCGCATTATGCTGGCTATTCGGCTGTCGATAATCTGTTTCGCGCGGCGAATTTACCCCATAACAATGTCGAGCGATGGCTCAAAGCGCAAGACGCCTACACGCTGCATCGTCCATTGCGACGGAAATTTCCGCGAATGCATTACAACGTAACGAATATCGACGATCTGTGGGAGGCAGATTTGATCGAACTCCGAAATCTCAAAAGTTACAACGAGGGATATTCGTATTTACTCGTGATTATCGATGTACTTAGTAAATACGTCTGGGTAGAACCATTGCACGACAAAACGAGTAATTCCGTAATGAGAGCTTTTCAGAACGTGCTCTCGAGAAGTAACAGTCGCGCGCCCGTATACCTACAAACGGACAAGGGTAAAGAATTTGTCGGGCGATCACTACAAAAGTTTTTGGAAGAAAATGACATTCGTTTTCACGTAGCCCGCAATCCGGACGTCAAAGCCGCCATCGTCGAGCGCTTCAACAGAACGTTGAAAGAACGAATGTGGCGTTATTTTACGCATAAAAATACACGACGCTACATCGATGTTTTGCAGAATATCGTAAACGCCTATAATCACACCCGTCATTCGAGCACCAGAATGCAACCGTATGCTGTTACGAGAGAAAATGCGCGTATCGCGCGTGAAAATATAACGCGCAGATGGAGGAGCAACGGCGAAGCGAATGAAAAACGCCGAAAGGCTAAATACCACGTCGGTGATCACGTTCGTATCAGTAGAGCAAAAGTCGTCTTCGAGAAAGGATACGAGGCGCGGTGGAGTGAGGAGATATTTCGAATTTATCGCATACTCGATTGGCGAAAACCACGTGTGTACGAGCTGAGCGATTTAGCGGGAGAAGTCATAGACGGCATTTTTTACAAACAAGAATTGGCTCGGGTTGAGAAAAACTTGCAGGAGGAGGAGTTTATCGTCGACCGTGTGATAAGAAGCCGGGGTCGCGGTAATAATAAGCAGGTGCTGGTTAGCTGGCGTGGTTATCCCAGTAAGTTTGATTCTCGGATCCCTGCTTCGAGTTTAACCCCGCTTGTTCAAAATGAGGACGGATCAATTTCTTTTGGTTCTTCCCAGCAATAGCAGCATGCGTTATTTTCCGCACAATGCAACCACTTCCTTCACCACAGAATTACCTCAACCTATACACTTACACGGCGAATGGAAAGTCGCGCTTAACGAGATCCAATTTCCCACTACTTTTTTACACATAAACCACGTTAAAAATGTCATTAGATTCGTCGATATTGAAAATGGACACGAGACGAGGAAAAACGGGGCGCCGTTAACGTCGACGGAAGGCGTAATTCCGAATGGTATTTACAAAAATATCGAGGAACTTATCTCCGCTATTAATTCGGCTTGCAAAGTGCGAATTCGCATATTAATTTGAAACTAGAAGACGCTAGCGGCGG